GGGTTGGGACATTCACCCTGTCTTGGCTAAGCTTCGTTGGTCAACCGGCCTACGACCTTCCTTGTTCCGAGGGTGGTTGAGCACGATATGTACATACTGACTGTCTAGCCTAGCCCATCAGACTTGGTTGATCGCCTACGCAGGATTTTAAGAGTATCTAGAAGAAGAATAGGGAGGGGGCACGCAGACCCTATCCCTAACCCTAACCGCAAAGCACGGATTGAATATTTTATCCCACATGTTTGCTCAATCAATTTTGCTGCGAGACTACTGATGGGTGAGCGCCGGGGCACAGCGGGCACGGAGAAGTAAACCCCAACTCCGTCGGTTGTGGTGTGCATAGGGTACCGACGAGACGGAGACAGCAGCAGCAGCAGCAGCAAGCAGCAGTGTGTTCGAAACACACCACACAAGCAGTGTGCCCGCAAACCATGCCAGCAGGAGTGTGTCCGCACCCCCATGCGACACATGAGGAAAAGGGCCGCCGTCGCCACATGCAACCGTTTCGTGGGAAGATGAATGCCTGTGTCGTTTGGCGGTGGCTGAGTTTCGTTCAATCTACACGGAGAGGACGGAACACCCAAAACAACGCACCTTCAGCCACTCCGACACCTCTCTCCTGGCGGTAGTCGAGCCGGACATGGTCTCTCGCCTGTTTGTCCGCTGTGATTCCGCTCTCGCGCCACGAGCTCTTCTCCTCCGCCCTTGTTGCCCTTGTGGGGGACCAGGAACAATCTCTCTCCTAGCGAGCGGGCTCGCTTCACTCTCCCCACCCCCCCCCCGCTCTTTTGGCAAAGGATCCACGCGGGTGGTGGTTGCTTGCCAGAGGTGTCCACAACCTGCTCTGAGCTTGGCAGCCCGCAGCAAAGGCACCACCCAGGCAGGATATAATATGTGGGCAGGGCAGCCGAAGATGTCTGTTTGGCTAAACCTGTTCAAGTGAACACACAGACACAGGCGGTTTCCAAGCTTCTCGATAAAAGGCTGAGGTGGTCACTACACACGCCGACACCCATCGGAGCTCGGAGGGCGGGGGGGATAGAGCTGCGGAGGGATATGCCAACGGCGGGGAGGCCTGTAACAGCGGCGACTTGGCTGCTGAAATCCTCCCAAGGGGGAAAGCGCATCATCTCTCGTTTTGGGATAGAGAGGATATATGCATATGTCTCGAGGGCAAACGGATTTTCGAAAACAAAAAAAGGTTTTCGGGCACCAAATCACGAGGAGGCTCACCGAAACAATGCTGCCGAGGCCCCGCTTCTCCTTCACGCGCGCGTTCTGGCCTCAAGCACACAACTGTAGCCTGTAGCTTCCGTCGAGTGACCTCTTTGTCTGCCCAAGCTGGCCGGGCCGTCTCTTTTTCTATGTGAGGGGGCTCGTGGATGATACTTCTGTATGTGCGGGGGCTCCGGATCACTTCGAAACCCTGCCTGCTGTAACGCATGACAACAGTTACAAGAACAGATGTTTTACGGTTCGACTTCACGACGAGAAACCGGCCGAGTACATTTAGCAGTTGTGTAGCCCACACGCCGTGTCTGCTGTTGTTGTTGTGTCATCGTTTCAAACGCGCAATAGACGGACAGGCAGGCGTTGTTCAAAACAGGGGGGGCATCGTGACCTACTGCTGTAGGAAGGAAGGAAGTGATAGTAGTTTAGTCTAGCCAGCGAGGGGAGGTTCCAAAGCCAATGTCAGACGAGTAAGATGCGATCTCAGTTGGTTCGATATCCCACTGGATACATTAGTGCTGACTATGTATGGAGATACAGCAGTGCTGACTATGGATGGACTGCATCCAATGAGCATGATGTGTGGTGTATCTCGTGTAGGCATACATATGTTACCGATCGTACATAGTGCAACCAACCAACCAATGAGCATGATGCATACCGTAAGGTTGCGAGTCAGCGCACAGGGGTGCGATCGATTTTCAAAGCGTAATTTCTCCTCAGCCAGAAGGGTGCGAGCGCCAATCGATACTTCTCAGGAAGCTCTCGATGAGATATTTCAAAACCGCCCCTTCGACAGTGGTAACTTCCTGGTTGTTGTGGAGCAACTACGCTTTGAAAATAAATCGCTCGCGCCCCTGCCCCCTGACTCGCAACCTTCGGTACGTGGTTTGTCTCGTGTATGATGTCGATCGATCGTCCACAGGAAGGTGTACAAGTATTATAATTAGAAACAGAGAGCACGATGACCTCGGTAGTAGAGATGGGCACCGGACGTGAAAAGCAATAACCGATAACCGGCTAGGAAGCGGTATTCTCAATATATCCAACATCCGGTAAAATAACAACCGGTTTTTGGTTTATCAACCGGTTAACCGGATCATATAAGGAAACCCCTCAGCAATCTCTCAAAACTGGGTCTGTGCTGTGGCTTTATGGCATAGACACCATCTTTCAATCACCCAGTCGGTGTTCTACCGGTGCATGGCGCAGTATTTCACGCACACCATGTATTGTCGTCGGGTCAACGAAGAGATGGGCATCAGAAGGGACAACCCATGAATGAGAAAAAACCGACTAGGAGGCGCCATTCTCAAACAAAAAACCGAGGCATATGTAACCGGTTTTTTCAGCGCCGGTTAACCGGTTAACCGGGTGTAACCGTTTAAAAAAAGCCTCCTTTTTGCAATACCTCCGTTTTTTTCGTTTGATAACCGTCACTCATAAACGCCTGCTGGGTGTCCAAATAACCGAATATTACCGGTTATTTTTCCAACCGTGCCCATCTCTACTCGTTAGAAACACTTTCACCCATCATGCAAACAGACCAAAACAAGTTGGTCGGCAGTGAGAGGTAAGAGGAACTTGAGTCACTCCTCCTCTTCTGTGGGCAAGACATTCTTCACGGTACAAGGCAATGCCAACACACCAGGCGAAAGAGAAGAAGTAAGTGTACTCGCCGTGCCAAATTTCTTTTCTTCGCGACACTACAGTATAGGCACGAACCTTCGTGCAATTTAAGCGTTCGCTACTTATGCGTAGTAGGGGCAGAGGTGGTGCGAATGCGCGTAGCACCCTCCACCCAAATAATCTGCAGTACTTTAAAACTCCTTGATGACTTTCTCTCTGTCTCCGTCTCTCGCTCTCGTTCAGATTCTTTCTCGCCATGCGAAGCGAAAAATCGATCAACGTTAAAAACAAATGTAACCCCAGAATAAACCAACAACATTGTACAGAGAAACGAAAAGGAACACAACCACGTTTCTTGCGTGCATGTACAATTCGCGCTTGCTTGTGAGCGCACGTCAAGGGTAGGTGCCTTCACTTCCACGTCCAATCAGCGCTCACGGCAATTGTGCCGCTTTTCTCGAACCCGTGGTCACATAGGAGGGTTTCTCTCCGTGACTCCCGCTACCCAACCCTCCTGCGGTACTTCGCCTTCGGTTTTTAATGCGACAAGATGATGGGAAGAAAACCTCAGCATGCAGATGTAGCCAATCACCTCTCTCTGCTTACTCTTCAAGAAAAGTCGAAAAGAAAAATCCAATATCTCGAGGAAATACACACAACAACTCCTGCGGACCCCCTGTCAGCACAATAGAAAGTGATGGTGTTTTTTTCCCACTACAAGACTAGCCGACTAATAATAGCGTGGTCCATGCAAATTCCAAAGCACATTCGAAACTTGGGACAAAGGAGACGTAGAATTATTCCAAACAAGGATAGATGCACACGACGCACACATGAAAACAGAAAACGGCTTCACCATCTGTTGTCGCGCGATGTGCCATGCATCCCTCGGAACAGGAATAGAAAACCCTCTGCCACAAAAGCCATCACATCGTCTCCAACATATCCAGCGCAGAAAAGATATGCAGGCCGCGGTAATTCACGAGGCTCGCTGGTCACCTCATTCGCTACAACGATTGGCGGCAGGGAATAGCACTACAACTCCAGAGGGTAGGGAGACAATCAAAGCTTCACCTGAAGGCATGGCTAGAAGCATGCATGTAGACTCCGGTTATATTTTAGCGTTGGGCAGACAACGAAACCAAACGGACTAGATGACATCGCCATCACCCCGCCGCTCTCTCTGCCCTTGCTTTCCTGACAGAAAACAAACAACACTTCCCTAACATACCCGTGAGCGCGGCCAACACACACTCCCTTAAGAGGCACACATACATCAAGGCTCGGACACCACGCGTAGGCACCGCATACCTGCTGCCGCTAGCTATACTATAGCCTTCATCACAGTGCAACAACGACCATAGCACGTATTAGCCCCCGGCTAGATCATTTAACACGACAGTCACACTCGTAATCTCGCTCAAAACCTTAAAACATATGGTACCCGTATACCGACACGGAACTCCCCACCCCCGCGCGCGCTTGGGCAAAAAAAACAGACGCTCTTCAACGATGAAGCCGTTTGGAAGAACAACGCGTCAAAATCCTTACCCCGACTGCATCTGTATGACCGTATCTACACTTTTCAAGACGAAAGTCAAAGTCCGAACACACATCCCATCCGTAAACATCACAGCGAAACAACTTACACACCGAGAGCCATATAGAACTTTGCGGAGCTTCAAGGTTGCCGAGCTTGCTCCCTCTGCTCGCCACCATTTGCTCCGTGTTGGCCGGCACGTAGCCAGGACCAGAACAAGGACCAATCAACCAATGGCCATCGCACACCCTGCGACACCATCTCCACCGCAACATCTGCGCTCGCAGCGAGATAGAAAACAGGACTGCACGTATATAGCATACGGGGCACCGTGACTCGGCTCTCAACGAGTTCTCCCACACCCCAATTCCCCCATGCCAGGACGATTAACATGTAGTGCGAGAAAGCATAAAGACATTTCGCGAACAAAGAGTACCACCCTAGAGCTGCAAAGCAACCTCACAGCCGCAACCAGCACCAACGAAACAATTATAACCTAGCAAACGATCATCGACCCCGGACACTGCACGCGCCTCTCTCTGCCCCACGAGGGGACTCAAAGACACGACCTCGAAAAGCTGCGCCTCGCAATGGCGCCGTGTTTCTCCCCCGTCTCCTTGCGCCACGACGTTTTCTCGAAGGTACACGCCGAACAGGCTCTCCTACACATGGCACACCTCTCCTCCACAGCAGACAGAAACAAAACAACGGAAGCCATTTTTTTAGAAAGTAAACATAACCTCACAGAAAGACTACCCGTTCGAGGTATAACCTCAGTCGAAAGTGGTAAGTTTTTTCTCTTCTTGTTAATCGTCGCCTGCCTGCTGGCCCCCATCCCAACAAAAGAAAAAATAGACAAAAAAGAAACCACAACGACGATAAATCCAAAAGCGAAGAGCTCTGTCGAAAAGCCAGAAACAAGTCTTGGTTTTCCCGAGACAGGCATTAACTCGCCGCTATCTTCCTACCTCTGTTAGACTAACTGCCCGTGCCTAAGGTACCCACCCTCCCCCATACAAACCCATGCACATTCGGGGCCAGGTAGTGCAGGAGCCCCGTCGATACGGCGAGCGGATTCGGGGGGGGGGGGGGGGGGGGGG